TCCCTCTGTATTTCTGCTATTGTAATATATTGCCATTGGATGAGGCTGTTTCCTTTTGGTATCTAGCTGAACTAGAGCTATGGGCAGACTCAGCTTAAACTTTTGGCTCAGCCTGGCTCTGTTGAGAAATCATGTAACTGTGCTGAAATCCCTTTAGCCCACAAGTTACAATAAGTCACCATGAAATCATTGCTTTCCATCTAGTTACTCAATTAACACTGCAAGGACTCATTACTATGTAGTTCATCCTGAGCTTAGCCCAATTTCAGCACTACTTCAGGGATGGTGAAGTGGCCACTCTTTGGCAGTAGCAAGATGTTGCCATTTAATGACTACAACTACTGTGATTTAGATTGGGGATTAGGGGAACCAAACCACTATGGTTTGCATACCACTAACCATGCCACCATTTGGACCTGGGGTATCAGCTGCACACCTTTAGGAAAGTTCTCAATTTTCAGCATTTGAAATATTCTTTTGCTGAAATTGGCACTTCACCTTTCTTTGTCTTCCTCTGTCCTGACATTTCCTTCGTGGAGAGAATGGCAGCTTTAGTAAGGCGATCCTGGGAACAGTGGGAAGTGGATAGCTCCAGGAGACACTTAAAACATGGTAGCTAGACACCTAAGATGGAGATTTAAAGCCGTGTCCTGCACACCTAGCCCTTTTACTCCCTTTTCACTCAGCTCCCACCAGCTCACTGGATAACAGATATCATCGGATTTTTACAAGTTCTCATTTGGCTGATATTGTACCCTACCTGATAAGTATGACCAGGCAGATGAATCTTGTCTGACTCTAGATAATACCAACAACTGAACTAACATGGTTAATGGCTAGCTCAGGCCAACATGAGAACTTTTCTGTGTTTTATTCAGCCTTCCAGCTTTCTTCTTTCTTTTTCTTGATTACTGTCTGCATCATCCTGCTTGTTACTGTGGACAGGAGAGGCCACTCCCTGGGTAACTGGCTCCCATCCATGCTGACATCTCTTTATTAGTCACTCTTGCCCATCACTGTGCTATCACCCTTGTCATATTTTCTGAGAGGAGGATGATAACCTCCCTCAGGAACTTCTTCAGTCAAAGGAAAGATGCTGAATAAAGTCTGAATAATAAGTTATAGTTTTGCTAGGTAGAAAACATGTATTGAAATTGTCCTTTCCCTTTGCTATATGGACATAACAGCACAGTTAGGTGAACCTTTATACTTTTGGCTACGTGTCTCTTAATACCCTTTGGATCCTGTCTCTTAAGATCAGAGTTCTTGATTCTGTGTTGAAGCTGAGTGGTATCTGATATACTGAACATAAACATGGGACTACTGGATTGCTTTTCAGTTTCTTTCGTGTTTTTGAATAAAATTGACAAGCAGCATGGTGGCGAGAGTACATTCAGATCTTATCCAGCTAAGGTAATGTTCATATAATACTCAAAGATAACAAGAATGAAATCTAAGAAAATAAGGGCTATACATGGGCTTTATTTCCTTTGGAAATAACACCACCAGTGAGTGCCTTTTCTCAATGCCTTTTATAGAATTTAGCGTATAGGATAAAACTGTCGTTTCTCTTCCAGTGTGGTTTTTTTTTTTTTTTCTTTCCACTGAGTGCCAGTCAGGTCCATAAAGAATTCCATCTCTTTTAAGCTTGGATTGTAAGCCTGGCCAGAAGGGAGAAGAATGATTGAGGGGAAGAAGAGGTAAGCCCATTAGAAAGTCAAAGCAGATCAAAGCATCAGGACAAATGAGACACTGTGCATCCTCCCCTTTGTTATTAAGGGGTTTTTTTTTGTTTTTCTTCTGCTCCTCCTCAAGGTCTAGCTTTCTTTTTATTCAGGATTTAGCTCCAGAGTCATTTTCAAACAGGTAAATCTTTTCTGATTCCAAACATTATCTAAGGCATTGGTTTTCCACCTTGTCTATACGTTAGAATCACTGGGAGAGCTTTTCAAAATTCTGATGCCCAGGCTCCACCCCAGAACAATTAAATCACTACTTCTGGGAGTGAGACTCCAGCATCAGTATTTTTTTTAAATGCCCCCCAGTATACACACACAGGTGGTTGATTTATTGTGTGTATCTAAGGTTGATAGAACACAACTGTAGTAGTTATTAGTACTCTTATTCTATGAAACCTTCTAAGGTTTTATGAAGGAGAAATTAAAAAATTAAAGACCTCCCATAATCAGCCTGCCTTTGCAAACTTATTTTCTGTGACTTTTTTTTTTAAACACATATCTACCCTGTGCTCAGTCTAATTGGACTACTCCTTCTTCTTGATCTTGCTTTTATTCATGTTTTTTACAGTGTTTGTGCATGCTGTTTGAGAAATAACCTCCCCCTTTTTGCTTTTATAATCCCACACTACCACCTCTTTGAAGCTTTTCATTATTCTTCAGCCAAAAGGAGGCTCTTCCCTTCAGTATTTCTCTTTTCTCTCTCTCTCTCTTTTTTTTTTTTTTTTGCTTTAGAATATTCTGTGTGGTTTTGCATTCATGTTTTATTTCTCCCGCCAGTTTGCAAAGTCTGGGTCTTATTCATCTATGTATTCCACTCATTGCCTGGCATCTTTACATTCACCATAGTGCCTTATATCCAAATGATGTTATATAAGTGTTTGAATAAAAGGTGGTTTTCAGATGTGTGCTATTGCAGAGCCAGAGAGAAAGCAGATGTGTGATATCTTTTCTACTTGCTTTCAGACTTTTCCAGTTGTTTGAATTCTTCGTTGTGGCGACCTTTTTATTTATTTACGCATGTGATTTTTGGCTTATTTTCAACCATGAAGTAATCTTCAAGAACCAGGTTCTAGAAACGGCTCTTCAAAGTTTGGAGTGCTCTGTAACTTAGAGCAGAGAATGCTTATTAATGCTAGTTATGAAGCACCTGCCCAGCCCATTTTCTGTCATGGTGGAAATAGGATTTTGTCATAGGTCTCACTGTTTTTCAGGATAGATTATTTTTTAGAATTTGGCAACCCAGTTTCATGTATTTTTTCACTGAGAAGATAAATCCTCTTTCTCAAATCCTGAAAACCGGTACAATTTTGCTTTTTAACATAACTACAGCACAAAGATTCCCAAGTTTCTACCACTAAATGACAGATAATAAAGGAAACAGTGTTTGTAGAGCAGACAGGCATTTGGTGATTCAAAGAGGAATTTCAGATGCACAGTGAGAACTAGGGAAGAGACAAATGCACAGCACTGTTAGTGGTGTGTATGTGTGTCTTATGTTTCTTCATGCCAGCTATTTTCAGCTTCAGTTCTTCTTTAATGCTTTTGTCATGGAAGCCTGACTTCGGGATGAATTATATCAGAGCCCTGATGGGGGAAAAGGCCAGATTAAGACTATGTGGAATGACTTTCCTGTCACCTAGCTAATTAAGTCCATCTAATTCTCCAATAGTTAGCATCCTTTTACATGATCTCCAGATAAATCACAGCATTTCTCCTTAGTACTATCGACTGTGAAAGAGATTTGAAGCATTGCATGCCTTCCTACTTCCTCCCCGGGTAGGGTGTCTTGACCTCTCCCAGCTGTTTTCTTTCTTAGGAAAGTTCTAAATTCTAAAAATCACTCTATCCACCTGTAATTTTTGAAGCTTGAAATTGCTCAGTACTGGTTTGGTTCCCACCTTCTCAGTGGGACAGCAGGTTTTGTAGATCAAAGCACATTTTAGGTTTTCTTTGCTTTTCTTTTTTTTCTCCCTTAAATTTCTTTTTAGGGGAAAAATAAAACGCTTTCAAGACATTACTGCTTGTTGATAGAGCTTCTTGGAATATGTAAATTCTTTAAATCCGGTTAGGTTTGTGCCTATGTACCCCAGTGAGAAGATTGGATCTGAAACATCCCTGAGATGTCCCAGCTCCATCTTCTTTCCAAGTTTTCTCAGAACTCCCACACACCATCAGTACCACTACTCGATTCCCCTAGGACATGTTTCTTTGCAATCTAGAATTTCTTTAAGCTTTGGGAGTCAAGTTGAACAGCATGTATTCCCAGCAACTTGGTAGAGCAATTTACAGATTCTATATGGGCATCTAGTACTTAGCTAAATGAACTCTACCTCTCTCTCCTCTCTCTCCTTTCTCTCTTTCAGCTTGGCAGTGACCTTGGCGGGGGCATTGGAGGAAGTCCGGCAGTAAGTGCCATCCGTTTTTTTCACCATGGGATGCGCTGCCCCCTGTTTGATGCCTTTCCTATGCACACATTCTCAGACCAGTCACCGCTGCTGTCTAGTGTTGTACACCAAAACCTCTATAGCAGTAAATGAAGAGTAGAAAGTAGCGTAGGGTTACTTGGGTTCTTCGGAGGCATATACCACATGTGGTATAGGGACATCTTTAGGGATTGGCGCTCTGGTGTGTACAGAGTTCTTTGTCTTCCTGACATTAAAGAGCTAAAGGAAATGGAACCTCCCATCTTGACTGGAGAATGCTCTTATTCTCTAGTGTCATCTACAAAGAACTTGAGAGAGTCAGCGGACTCAGAGGGAGACTCTCCTCGTAAGTGACGGAGTTTGGGGTGGGGTATGAATATCCATCTCCCCCCAGGAGAGTTTCCTACTAGATATTTATGCCTAAATGGGAAAGTAAGACTTGTCTGCACCCAAGTGGAAATAGAACTGCTTTCTAAGTTGGATGCTTCTTCTTTCTATAGAAACAGACTCCCCCTTCGTTAGGGTACATGTAGGCCTTTTGCACAGAATCATGGAAGCTAAAATTGGAAACAAACAGAAAAGATCTTGGATCACTGTGTTCCTGGTCCTACTGATTACTCTGATAGAACTTCTAAAGAGTGTCTGTATATTATCAATGATGAAAAAATAACTGTGATGATTAAGAGGACAAAGAATATACTAATTCAGCTCCAAGAATATTGTAATTATGGTGTGTCCTTACTGTTTTATCAATACTACTAAAATATAGAGCAACATGTTAAGGGCTATTAATCTGTTTTTCCTGGTTTCCCCACCCCCCTTCCCTTTTTCCCTACAGGTGGGACAATCCTTCATCCCCTCATCAGTGCCTGCAACCTTTGCTCCTTCACCTACTCCTGCTGTGGTCAGCAGTGGTCTGAATGACCTGTTTGAACTCTCCACGGGAATAGGCATGGCACCTGGTGGATATGTGGCTCCTAAGGCTGTAAGTAAAGTGATATTTTCTTAATGAACAATACCTGAATTACTTAATATTTTTTGTTATTTCCACTGATAATAAGTCCAAGGTTTGGGCCCTTGTCCTAAAGGATTTAAGAGGAAGATGAAAAGTAGCCTGAAATTTAGCAATACGAGAAGCACCATAGCATCTTCATTAGCTATTTCTATAATTAGACTTAAAATTGGAAATATTAAATATTTGTGTTTAGAAATATTGTCTGGTTTGTCAGCACTGAAGTCAATCTAGTGTAAACCCAGTTGATGCAACCGTGAAGGGGGTGGGGGGCAGGGTGTAGTATAGAGGAATAACATTTTTACTTCTCTTTCCTACCATTCCCTATTGGTATTACATGTGGATTCTAGAGTGCTGATGCTCACATTTGGCTTTCATGGATTTTAGTGTACGTTTTTAGAGTTCTGATTTAGGTTTCTGTCATTGGTGCTTTTCTAGTCTCAGCCTTGCTTAATGTCCTGCTCAGACTGAATTTCAAAAGTGGAAACTGCTGTAAGTGAAGCTTATTTCAGCCTTTGGGAATAGTGCCATCCAGGCTAGGCCCAGTTTCTTGTAATTGTGCCTTTCTGGGGGACAGTATGCCTGTTTGTTTCCTTAATTCTCTGCCTGTTCATCTGACTCTGGAGGATCCCTGTTAGAGTTGTAGACCAGTTGTCCATTCCAGGGGTCATAACTTTGTCTACACAGCTGCTGAATAGAGTAACCAAAAATAGGATTTAAAACTGAGCCATAATATTTTGGCACAATACAGTAACTTGGTTGTGAGGTTTCTGTGTTGGATATTATCCCACAGACTTTTAATTATTGGTTAAAAGATTATCTAATGCATTTGTTTACTAATATTAAAGTAATACGTACAAATGACAAATTTAAGTAATGTAGAAATGACAGATGGAAAATTAAGTTTATCTGTCCTCACTTTCCCATAGGTAGCCACTATTAACTTTCTTGTGTGTCTTACCGGAAGAAAAGAATTATGCATATACCTATATATCTGTGTTCTTTAACAGAACTATGTCAGGGGAATATACTGTTTTGCATCTAGTTTTTTCTCTACCATATTATTTTGAATGTCTGTATCCACTGTATTGATGTGCCACAACTTATTTAATCATTCTCCTGTTGATAGACATACAGGTTATTCGCTTGGTCCTACCACCCCCCTCCCCACTTTTTGTTATTACAGTGTTGCAGTGAACATCTTTGCATATGTATACCCTGGTATACATATATTTTTTTATCCTGGTATACTTTTGTAAATATAGCTATAGGGTAAACCTGCAGTGTGCTTGATCATTTGAACATTTTTTTTTTTTTTTAAAGATTTTATTTATTTGACAGAGACACAGCAAGAGAGGGAACACAAGCAGGGGGAGTGGGAGAGGGAGAAGCAGGCTTCCTGCTGAGCAGGGAGCCCGATACGGGGCTCGATCCCAGGACCCTGGGATCATGACCTGAGCCGAAGGCAGATGCCTAACGACTGAGCCACCCAGGTGCCCCAATCATTTAAACATTTTAAAATAGACATTCTCCACTTCCAAAGGTGACATCACATTATATTCCCAGCAACACAGTACAAAGTGCCAGATTGCTTAAATTCTCTATTGAGTATTATTGACTTTTAGGATTTTTGACCCTCTGATAGATGAAAAATATCTTATGGTTGTTTGATTTCATTTTCTTCCTTCCTTTCCTTTTTGGTCTTTAGCGTGGCTGAATATGTTTTTATGTTTATTCAACCACCCACTGATGCTTCGGTATTGTGTCTTAGATGGTCAGAACAGTTCATGAATTTCCTGGGGTTTTTTTTTGTTTTTTTAAGATTGATTTATTTTTAGAGAGCGAGCGAGAGCAGGGGGAGGAGCAGGGGAGAGGGAGAGGATCTCAAGCAGACTCCCTGCTAAGCTCAGAGCCCAACGCAGGGCTTGATCTCACGACCCTGAGATCATGACCTGCGCCAAAAATCAAGAATCAGACACTTCACTGACTGAGCCACCCAGGTGGCCCCTGATTTTTTTTTTTTTTTAATTAACTCTTATTGTCCAGGATTATCACAGGTTCTAGGGCCAGGGATGGGTAATGGATTATATAGAGAAGATAGGCATTCAAAGTACTTAAGCCACATCTAAGTACTATTTACCCGAAACTATAGCAAGAGTTAACAACATATGTAAGACATGGTCCTTGCCTTTAAGATTAATGATAATGGTTTTAGTGGTGATTAAAAAAAAAAAGTCTTCGGGCGCCTGGGTGGCTCAGATGGTTAAGCGTCTGCCTTCGGCTCAGGTCATGATCCCAGGGTCCTGGGATCGAGCCCCGCATCGGGCTCCCTGCTCAGCGGGAAGCCTGCTTCTCCCTCTCCCACTCCCCCTGCTTGTGTTCCCTCTCTCACTGTGTATCTCTCTGTCAAATAAATAAATAAAATCTTTAAAAAAAAAAAAAAAGTCTTCAAAGATACAGACATGCTATTTTCATTAGTAGATTCAGTTCCTTCCCTTTTAAGCCTTTTACCAAAGGTGCTAATAAAAAAAAAAAAAAAACAAATTATACTCATTGGAATTTCTCTTTTTCTTGTATATACTTTTGGTAGCAGTAATCAAGCAGTAAAATGACCAAGTTGAACAGAAGATGGAGAACTAGCCGGGTTATTCATAGACTGTTTTTGTGTGGGTTTAGTTTGGTTTGGTTCTTCAATAGAGAACAATCTCAAAATTCAGAGAATATCCAGAGCCTTTTGCATCTGACTTGATATTTATAGTATAAAAAATCACCATAATTGCCTAAAGAAGCGAAATCTTAATTTCATCTTTATATATTCAAAACAAATAGCATTGAGATAAATCTTGTGTAGTTCCATTGGGCTCTGTACTGTCTTTTAGGTCTGGCTGCCTGCAGTAAAAGCTAAAGGCTTGGAGATTTCTGGAACATTTACTCACCGCCAGGGGCACATCTATATGGAAATGAACTTCACCAACAAAGCTCTGCAGCACATGACAGACTTTGCAATCCAGTTTAACAAGAATAGGTAAGACGTCTGAGTCCTCAGCTCAGTCATGAAACTTGTGCCTTGTGTACAACAAGCCAGTGTTCCATTTTTAACAATGCATTCAAAACTCTCATGTTGGAAGATGTTGGGTGTAGAGTGAGAGCTGGTCTTGCATGTCTATTCACTTGTCAGCTTCCACTCTGGAGGCCCTAGGGAATTTCGTTGGGAAACTCATCCATATAGAAAAACCAGAATTTGCTTACTGCCTTCTTAAAGGATTCTAGGACTAGAAAGTTTTTAATAAACCATTCATTTAAAAAAAAAAAGTTTTAAAGTCCATTTATTCATTCAACAAATAATTGTTTAGCATCTATGTGCCAAACATTTCTAGGTACTGGGGCTAGAGTAGTGAACAAAACAAATGAGTCTCCAAAGCCCACATTTTGTTGGGAAAAATGAACATATTTTGGTTGATGTCAAAAATTTGAAACATAGTCAGTATACCTGTTAGCTAAATAATGTAGGCAGACAGTCTGCTTTTAGCAATGAATTCTTTGCCTTATTAAGGAAGGGAGCATGAAGATGTAAATATTGATTTGCTATGGTTCTGAAACATTACTGTTTTTTATTAAATATCGTGGTTCAGGAAACTGCCTGCTAGACTTTGATGGCAGGTCCATTCATAAATATAAGATAATCAAACTTGTTTCCAGCAAAGTAGTAATTGGACCCTTAAAGCAGATTTAATAAAATTTATCAGTGACAACTTATATCAGTGATTGTCTTACTTATTTCTGAGCATTTGGAAATAACTTGTATACCTTAGATTGAAAGTTTGGCACATTAGAAATCACTTATCTAGAAAGTCTGTGTTTCCTTTTGTCAGACTAGTTCTATTTCCAGCTATTTACCAATTTTAGCCATTCTTAAGAGTTTATAGTGACTTGCATTTTAATTTATTTCTCATTTTAATTTGCATTTCCCTAATGACTAATGATATTGAGCAATTTTTTTCATCAGTGTATTGACCATTATATCTTTAGTGAAGTATCTGCTCAGATCTTTCTTTTTTTAGTTTTATTATCAAGTAGTAAAAGTTCTTTATATATTGTGGATACAAAGCCTTTGTCAGATATACATCTTGCAAATATTTTCTGTGGATTTATTTTCTTAACAGTGTCCTTCAAAAAGTAAAAGTTCTGTATTGCTTATGCTCTTTATGTTCTAAGAAATCTTTGCTTGGCCTGTGGATACAAAGATCTTTTTTTCTGTTTTGTTTTTTTTTTAATAGAAGTGGTATAGATTTAGCTCCAGCATTAACTTTTATAATCCATTTTGAGATAATTTTTAAATATGGTGTAAAGTAAGAGAGTCAGAGTAAACTTTGTTTTCCCATAGTAAGCCTTGAAATCAGATAGTACAAACTCCATTTTTGTTCTTTTTCAAAATTGTTTTGGCTATTCTAGGTCCTTTACCTGCTGGGATTTTGATTGAGAGTGTAGATCAGTTTGGGAGAGAATTGACATCAAAGTTCTAATCCATCAGCTTGCTTTTTTTATTTAGGTCATCTTTAACTTCTCTCTGCACTGTTTTATAATTTCTCATGTACAGATCTTTCCTGTCTATTGTCAGATTTTAGTATGTCATAGTTTTGATGGTATAGTAAGTAGTATTCTTTTCATTTTAATGTTTATTTCTTCCTTGGTATATAGAAGTAGAATTGATTTTTGTATGTTGAACTTGTATCGTGCAACTTTGTTAAATTCCCTTACTAGTTTTGGTACCTTTCTTTTTTTTTTTTTTTTTTAAGATTTGTGCATAGTTTATTTTTTCTCTTCATTTCTCTAGGAAAAACATTCAGAGTTCAATTGCTAGGTTGTGTGGTATTTGCATGTTTAGTTTTTTTTTTTTT